TATATTGTCTACAGTGTACATTGTTCGAGCTATGTTGTATACAGTGTATATTGTTTGAGCTATGTTGTCTACAGTGTATATTGTTTGAGCTATGTTGTCTACAGAGTACATTGTTTGAGCTATATTATCTACAGTGTACATTGTTCGAGCTATGTTGTATACAGTGAACATTGTTCGAGCTATGTTGTCTACAGTGTATATTGTTTGAGCTATGTTGTCTACAGTGTATATTGTTCGAGCTATGTTGTCTACAGTGTATATTGTTTGAGCTATGTTGTCTACAGTGTACATTGTTTGAGCTATATTATCTACAGTGTATATTGTTTCAGCTATATTGTCTACAGTGTACATTGATCGAGCTATGTTGTCTACAGTGTACACTGTTTGAGCTATATTATCTACAGTGTACGTTGTTTGAGCTATGTTGTCTACAGTGTACATTGATCGAGCTATGTTGTCTACAGTGTACATTGTTTGAGCTATGTTATCTACAGTGTACATTGTTTGAGCTATATTGTCTACAGTGTACATTGTTTGAGCTATGTTGTCTACAGTGTACATTGTTTGAGCTATGTTGTCTACAGAGTACATTGTTTAAGCTATGTTATCCAAAGTGTACATTGTTTGAGCTATGTTATCTACAGTGTACATTGTTTGAGCTATGTTGTCTACAGTGTACATTGTTTGAGCTATGTTGTCTACAGTGTACATTGTATGAGCTATATTGTCTACAGTGTATATTGTTTCAGCTATATTGTCTACAGTGTACATTGTTTGAGCTATGTTGTCTACAGTGTACATTGTTTGAGCTATATTGTCTACAGTGTACATTGTTCGAGCTATGTTGTCTACACTGTCCATTGTTTAAGCTATGTGGTCTACAGTGTACATTGTTTGAGCTATATTGTCTACAGTGTACATTGATCGAGCTATATTGTCTACAGTGTACATTGATCGAGCTATATTGTCTACAGTGTACATTGATCGAGCTATATTGTCTACAGTGTACATTGATCGAGCTTTGTTGTCTACAGTGTACATTGATCGAGCTATATTGTCTACAGTGTACATTGATCGAGCTATATTGTCTACAGTGTACATTGATCGAGCTATGTTGTCTACAGTGTACATTGATCGAGCTATGTTGTCTACAGTGTACATTGATCGAGCTATATTGTCTACAGTGTACATTGATCGAGCTATGTTGTCTACAGTGTACATTGATCGAGCTATATTGTCTACAGTGTACATTGATCGATCTATGTTGTCTACAGTGTACATTGATCGAGCTATATTGTCTACAGTGTACATTGATCGAGCTATATTGTCTACAGTGTACATTGTTTGAGCTATATTGTCTACAGTGTACATTGATCGAGCTATGTTGTCTACAGTGTATATTGATCGAGCTATGTTGTCTGCAGTGTACATTGTTTGAGCTATATTGTCTACAGTGTACATTGATCGAGCTATGTTGTCTACAGTGTACATTGTTTGAGCTATGTTGTCTACAGTGTATATTGTCTGAGCTATGTTGTCTACTGTGTACATTGTTCGAGCTATGTTGTCTACATTGTACATTGTTTGAGCTATATTGTCTACAGTGTATATTGTTTGAGCTATGTTGTCTACAGTGTACATTGTTCGAGCTATGTTGTCTACACTGTACATTGTTTGAGCGATGTTATCTACAGTGTACATTGTTTGAGCTATATTGTCTACAGTGTACATTGTTTGAGCTATATTGTCTACAGTGTACATTGTTCGAGCTATGTTGTCTACAGTGTACATTGTTTGAGCTATATTGTCTACAGTGTACATTGTTTGAGCTATATTGTCTACAGTGTACATTGTTTGAGCTATATTGTCTACAGTGTACATTGTTCGAGCTATGTAGTAAGTCTGTACTTCCTTTAGTGTGCCTTTATTCTTTTATACCTTTTTCTTTTTAATTTCACATTATTTTTCAGTCTGCCTATCTGCCCGTTCACATGTATATGTGACTGCGTGTCGTCAGTCTGTCTGTCTCTTTGTCTGTCGGCTGTCTTGGTCTGTCTGTCTTTTGTCTGTTATCTGACAATTTTTTTCTTGCTTTTTTTTTTAAAATTTTCTTTTATTGTGTGGCTAATTTAATTAACTTCACGGAGTCTGTGGCTAAGGTGTTGCGAGTCCGACTTGTAATCCAATGTACTGCAATCGAAACCCACTGCGGGCTGCGTGGATTTTTATCGTGGTATGGGACGTCGCAGGTCGACCCAGCCTCAAATGATTACCCGAATGGCTGTCCTAGGGAAGTAGAGACGGCCGGCGTAATGCTGACCACATTACCCACCGAGTGCAGATAAGTCTAAAAATATGGGTGCTCTTCCCATATGCCTGATGCGCCTAAAGTCGTGAAAAGGGATCTTTACTTTACGTACTTTACTGCTATATATATATATATATATATATATATATATATATATATATATATATATATATATATATATATATATATATATATATATCAATGTTTGTGTGTTTGTTTATGATCTATAGACTCGGAAACTACTGAACCGATTTAGCTGAAATATGTTTGTTTTGATACCGGATTTTTACCCGTCATGATTAGAAATTATACCTGTCATTGTTAGAGACAGGTGACTAAATTTATTGGAAAATTTTCGAAACTAATATTTCCATTTTAGAGACATTCAATGAAAGCCACGTTCGTAAATGCTCATGAGCAGTTGGGACGCACCACTTACCAACCATTCGCCGGCGTGATGCAACAAACCAAACTATCTCCACATCGCTGATTGCGACGTTAACCATATTAGACACGTTTTCTATTTTCTTTCTTTTCAAACAACTTTCGAAGGAGTTAGAGAGTATTCAGTAGATTTGAGAAAGGGGAGGGGGGCGATCAAAGACTATGTCTGCGCAGACAATGATTGCGACATTTACCGTGTTAGACATGTGCGATTTCTATTAGTGTGTCGTTTCAATAATACCTGAAGTTTATGTCTGGGATATCTGTTTATGAGAAAACAATTGCCTGCGGTTTTGAGTTGTGTATGAATCGGGACACACACCTTGCATAGTTTTGTTCTCTTTTCGTCCCAAGTGGTTGGCTGGCCGAATGCTTAGTACACTGGGTTCATGTGCGGCAGACTAGTGTGCGAATCCCCAGTACGTCTGTGTTATTTTTTTTTTTTTTTACCCGGAGGGACAAAATAAAACCCAGACCTGCACTGTCGTTTGCGACAGAACTAGCCATGTGGCCATAAATACTATTAAAAATAAGTACAGGTATGTGGGTAAACCAGTTGATAATTGAATTTGACCATTTCGCATGATTTCATTTCAAACTTTTCGATTGCATGGTTACGCTGAATTTTCATAGATTTCCATTTATTTTCATTTCGATTTAATTATTTCTTTTGACATTGTGTTGGAATTAGGTTGTATTGTTTATCATAGCGTTCATTTCGTAATTATGGTGTTTTTTTCCTGTTTTCGTTGCATTTCACTTTGTTTTTTTTTTACTCCAAACTACTTCGATAATGGAAAGAGTAGTCTGTGAATTGGGAAAAGGCGGGGGGAGGGGGGGGTGTAGCATAAACTGTTAACTGAGAGAGCTTTAAGTCACAGTAACTGCCTTACCAACTCAAAGTAGCAGCTGTAGTAGATGTGGTTGGGTGGTTACACCGTAGTACTGTCATGTCGGAGACCGCCTGTAAGGTGATGGCATTTTTCTGTCGGGAAGCGAAATTAGACATCCTAACCTGACCAGTCCGTGGCAACAGCATTAGCCTTGCGGCGCCAAATCCTCTGGCTCACAACTCCCTGTCTACTCCAACGGTAAAACAGATAGCAGTGACATTATTTTAGTTATTGTGGTGGTGGTGGTAGTAGTTGTACTGGTACTATTTTAGTCCGGATGGACAGGGGTATCAATGTCAGTTACAAAAAATATCGTCAGGTGATGACTTTCAAATCCTTCGATGAGGGAGAGAGCAGTATTTGTGAGTGGGGGAGGAAAGGGGGTGATGACAGAAATTGTTAACTTAAAGAGCTTAACGAATGATTTTAAAGTGTTCATTTCTTATTTTTTTTTTATTTTTTACTAACGCTACCTCCGCTATTCTTAATTTTTTAACGACTTACTTGGTTATTTACAAATACAGCTTTAGCATGGGATAACCAAATAACAATTTTTTTCTTTACTGTGCTAATAATACCATTTAAACGACCACCTCTTTATCTGTGCAGAGAATGATTGCGACATTAACTATATAAGACACGTACGATTTCTATTGTTTTTCTTTTCCAAAAGCCTTTGATGAAGGAGGAAAAAGTAGGTGGATTTGGAAAAAGGGGGTAGGGCATTGAAGACTATCTCTGTATGTGCGCAGACAATGATTGTGACAGTAACAATATTAGACACGTGCGATTTCTTTTTTCTTTCTTTCCATTTAGCCAAAAACTATGCCACAGCAACGCGTGGCCGGGTACAGCTATACAGTATACATATTACATATATATATATATATATATATATATATATATATATATATATATATATATATATATATATATGTGTGTGTGTGTGTGTGTGTGTGTGGTGTTTAACCATTTGCGTGGCGTAATTTATGTTATTTCTTAGTTTCTATATTTGTTCTGTTTTTTTTTTTCTTTATTTCCTTTTTCTGCCTGTATTTCTTTTCTTTCTCTGTATGTGTTTGTGCAACCGAGTCCGTGTTTCTTTTCTGTGTGTTTATAATTATGTCTACACCCTCCCCCATTTCTGAATATATTTCATGAAGCAAGAAAAACAGGGACGGAAAAAATATGTACAAGAGGCAACGTGCGGTCTAGGACGGCCATCAATCAAAGCCTGGCCTCAAAACCTCGCCGGTAATAGACCAGAAATGTTTCTGGTAACCGCCCTGACTTGCTTGCCGGGTCTACTCCCTCGCGCTGTCTATCACTGTGGAATGTACTAGAAATCTCAGTCAATGTACCAGAGATCCCAGTTAATATACTATAGATCACAGACAGTATACTATACATCCCAGTTCATATACTATAGATCACAGACAGTGTACTATACATCCCAGTTCATATACTATAGATCACAGACAGTGTACTATACATCCCAGTCAATATACTATAGATCACAGACAGTGTACTATACATCCCAGTCAATATACTATAGATCACAGACAGTGTGCTATACATATCAGTTCATATACTATAGATCACAGACAGTGTACTATACATCCCAGTCAATATACTATAGATCACAGACAGTGTACTATACATCCCAGTTAATATACTATATATCACAGACAGTGTACTATACATCTCAGTTCATATACTATTGATCACAGACAGTGTACTATACATCCCAGTCAATATACTATAGATCACAGACAGTGTACTATACATCCCAGTCAATATACTATAGATCACAGACAGTGTGCTATACATATCAGTCTATATACTATAGATCACAGACAGTGTACCAGACATCCCAGTCAATATACTATAGATCACAGACAGTGTACTATGCATCCCAGTCAATATACTATACATCACAGACAGTGTGCTATACATATCAGTCAATATACTATAGATCACAGACAGTGTACTATACATACCAGTCAATATACTATAGATCACAGACAGTGTACTATATATCTCAGTTCATATACTATAGATCACAGACAGTGTGCTATACATCCCAGTCAATATACTATAGATCACAGACAGTGTACTATACATCTCAGTTCATCTACTATAGATCACAGACAGTGTGCTATACATATCAGTCAATATACTATAGATCACAGACAGTGTACTATACATCCCAGTCAATATACTATAGATCACAGACAGTGTACTATACATCCCAGTCAATATACTATAGATCACAGACAGTGTACTATGCATCCCAGTCAATATACTATACATCACAGACAGTGTGCTATACATATCAGTCAATATACTATAGATCACAGACAGTGTACTATACATACCAGTCAATATACTATAGATCACAGACAGTGTACTATATATCTCAGTTCATATACTATAGATCACAGACAGTGTGCTATACATCCCAGTCAATATACTATAGATCACAGACAGTGTACTATACATCTCAGTTCATCTACTATAGATCACAGACAGTGTGCTATACATATCAGTCAATATACTATAGATCACAGACAGTGTACTATACATCCCAGTCAATATACTATAGATCACAGACAGTGTACTATACATCCCAGTTAATGTACTATAGATCACAGACAGTGTACTATACATCCCACTCAATATACTATAGATCACAGACAGTGTACTATACATCCCAGTCAATATACCATAGATCACAGGCAGTGTGCTATACTTATCAGTCAATATACTATAGATCACAGACAGTGTGCTATACATATCAGTCAATATACTATAGATCACAGACAGTGGACTATACATCCCACTCAATATACTATAGATCACAGACAGTGTACTATACATCCCAGTCAATATACTATAGATCACAGACAGTGGACTATACATCCCACTCAATATACTATAGATCACAGACAGTGTACTATACATCCCAGTCAATATACTATAGATCACAGACAGTGGACTATACATATCAGTCAATATACTATAGATCACAGACAGTGGACTATACATCCCACTCAATATACTATAGATCACAGACAGTGTACTATACATCCCAGTCAATATACTATAGATCACAGACAGTGTACTATACATCCCACTCAGTATACTATAGATCACAGACAGTGTACTATACATCCCACTCAATATACTATAGATCACAGACAGTGTACTTACTATACATCCCACTCAGTATACTATAGATCACAAACAGTGTACTATACATCCCAGTCAATATACTATAGATCACAGACAGTGTACTATACATCCCAGTCAATATACTATAGATCACAGACAGTGTACTATACATCCCAGTCAATATACTATAGATCACAGACAGTGTACTATACATCCCAGTCAATATACTATAGATCACAGACAGTGTACTAAACATCCCAGTTAATGTACTATAGATCACAGACAGTGTACTAAACATCCCAGTCAATATATCATAGATCACAGGCAGTGTGCTATACATATCAGTCAATATACTATAGATTACAGACAGTGTGCTATATATATCAGTCAATATACTATAGATCACAGACAGTGGACTATACATCCCACTCAATATACTATAGATCACAGACAGTGTACTATACATCCCAGTCAATATACTATAGATCACAGACAGTGGACTATACATCCCACTCAATATACTATAGATCACAGACAGTGTACTATACATCCCACTCAATATACTATAGATCACAGACAGTGGACTATACATATTAGTCAATATACTATAGATCACAGACAGTGGACTATACATCCCACTCAATATACTATAGATCACAGACAGTGTACTAAACATCCCAGTCAATATACTATAGATCACAGACAATGGACTATACATCCCACTCAATATACTATAGATCACAGACAATGTACTATACATCCCAGTCAATATACTATAGATCACAGACAGTGGACTATACATATCAGTCAATATACTATAGATCACAGACAGTGGACTATACATCCCACTCAATATACTATAGATCACAGACAGTGTACTATACATCCCAGTCAATATACTATAGATCACAGACAGTGTACTATACATCCCACTCAGTATACTATAGATCACAGACAGTGTACTATACATCCCAGTCAATATACTATAGATCACAGACAGTTTACTTTACATCCCACTCAGTATACTATAGATCACAGACAGTGTACTATACATCCCACTCAGTATACTATAGATCACAGACAGTGTACTATACATCCCAGCCAATATACTATAGATCACAGACAGTGTACTATACATCCCAGTCAATATACTATAGATCACAGAAAGTGTACTATACATCCCAGTCAATATACTATAGATCACAGACAGTGTACTATACATCCCAGTCAATATACTATAGATCACAGACAGTGTACTATACATCCCAGTCAATATACTTTAGATCCCAGACAGTGTACTATACATCCCACTCAGTATACTATAGATCACAGACAGTGTACTATACATCCCAGTCAATATACTATAGATCACAGACAGTGTACTATACATCCCACTCAGTATACTATAGATCACAGACAGTGTACTATACATCCCAGTCAATATACTATAGATCACAGACAGTGTACTTTACATTCCACTCAATATACTATAGATCACAGACAGTGTACTATACATCCCACTCAGTATACTATAGATCACAGACAGTGTACTATACATCCCAGTCAATATACTATAGATCACAGACAGTGTACTATACATCCCAGTCAATATACTATAGATCACAGACAGTGGACTATACATCCCACTCAATATACTATAGATCACAGACAGTGTACTATACATCCCAGTCAATATACTATAGATCACAGACAGTGTACTATACATCCCAGTCAATATACTTTAGATCACAGACAGTGTACTATACATCCCACTCAGTATACTATAGATCACAGACAGTGTACTATACATCCCAGTCAATATACTATAGATCACAGACAGTGTACTATACATCCCACTCAGTATACTATAGATCACAGACAGTGTACTATACATCCAAATCGTGAACTAGTGATCTCAGTCAATGAACTAGAGATCCCATCAATGTACTTGAGATCCCAGTGAATGTAATAGAGATCCATGTCAGTATACCAGAGAAACCAAGTCAGTGTCCTAGAAAACCCAAAATGTGTACAAGACATCCTAGTCAGCGTACTAGAACGGTTAGAGTACTAGAGATTCCATTTTATGTACTAGAGATCCCAGTTAATGAACTAGAGATCCCAGTCGGTGTACTAGAGATCCCACTTCTATACTTGAGATCCCAGTCAGTGTACAAGAGATCCCAGTTGTTGTTCTAGAGACCCCAGTCAGTGTGCCACAGGCGGCGCTGATTTCAGCTTTCTTGCCTGTTTCTGCTCCATGGATATTTACAGTGACACGTGATTGGTGGTTGCAGACAATGAACAACCTAGGGTACTGATTGGTTGGTTGTTTCACTTCAATGATTGGTGTATAAAACAATTGACAGTTTTGAATATGAAACCTCACTCTGAACTACAACATGTGGTTTTCTTGGTCTTCGTGTCAAGTAGGAGGTCAGCAAACGAAAACTGCAGGAAACGAGACCAGACACACGCAGCTATCAGCTTATTCACATTAGACACACGCTGGTGTCTGCTTGTCTACATCAGTCACACGCTGGTGTCTGCTTGTCTACATCAGTCACACGCTGGTGTCTGCTTGCCTACATCAGTCACACGCTGGTGTCTGCTTGTCTACATCTACATCAGTCACACGCTGGTGTCTGCTTGTCTACATCAGTCACACGCTGGTGTCTGCTTGTCTACATCAGTCACACGTTGGTGTCTGCTTGTCTACATCAGTCACACGCTGGTGTCTGCTTGTCTACATCAGTCACACGTTGGTGTCTGCTTGTCTACATCAGTCACACGTTGGTGTCTGCTTGTCTACATCAGTCACACGTTGGTGTCTGCTTGTCTACATCAGTCACACGCTGGTGTCTGCTTGTCTACATCAGACATACTCTGGTGTCCGGGGTCTACATCAGACACACGCTGGTGTCTGCTTGTCTACATCAGTCACACGCTGGTGTCTGCTTGTCTACATCAGTCACACGCTGGTGTCTGCTTGTCTACATCAGACATACTCTGGTGTCCGGGGTCTACATCAGACACACGCTGGTGTCTGCTTGTCTACATCAGTCACACGCTGGTGTCTGCTTGTCTACATCAGTCACATGCTGGTGTCTGCTTGTCTACATCAGTCACATGCTGGTATCTGCTTGTCTACATCAGCCATACACTGGTGTCTGCTTGTCTACATCAGTCACACGCTGGTGTCTGCTTGTCTACATCAGTCACACGCTGGTGTCTGCTTGTCTACATCAGTCACACGTTGGTGTCTGCTTGTCTACACCAGTCACACGCTGGTGTCTGCTTGTCTACATCAGACATACTCTGGTGTCCGGGGTCTACATCAGACACACGCTGGTGTCTGCTTGTGTACCTCAGACACACGCTGGTCCTCCGTGTGGGTTACGGGGCCCCATTGTGGGAAAGACAAGAACAGACCCGCTGTCTCCCTAAAAGCATGTCGTAAGAGTCGACTAATTGGGGAGCTTTCTTTGAAGTCGGAGTGCATCTGCCAGAGAGGCAAGGAACCAACAGTCTGTATTCAAGAGAATGATATCTGTAAAACTGATGCACACCCAACACTCAGGTTCTGGAGCAGGACTGCAGTTCAGTAGTGGACGAGCAACCAGATCTTTCCGCCAGAGTGTACAGCTGGTGAACGCGAAGAAAAAGAAAAAAGACACACGCTGGTGTCTGCTTGTCTACATCAGTCACACGCTGGTGCAAGCTTTTCCAGATCAGAAAAAGGCTGGTGACTGCTTGTTCAGATCAGACACATGCTGGTGACTGCTTGTTCAGATCAGACACATGCTGGTGACTGCTTGTTCAGATCAGACACATGCTGGTGACTGCTTGTTCAGATCAGACACATGCTGGTGACTGCTTGTACAGATCAGACACATGCTGGTGACTGCTTGTTCAAACCAGACACATGCTGGTGACTGCTTATTCAGACCAGACACATGCTGGTGACTGCTTGACACATGCTGGTGACCTGACACACCTTGGTGACTGCTTGTTCAGACCAGACACACGCTGGTGACTGCTTGTTCAGACAGACACACCGTCGATGGAAATGAAAGAGCTGACAGTTTGGCTGGATCCGCTATCACTACCGACGGTCAGCCTATGGATCATGCTGATATTATCAATGCCCTCAGAGAAATGGGAAGGATAGAGGACTTTGGTGGTAGTAAATCCACATCACTCGCCAGAATGGCAGACTTGGGAATTAAGATCGGCACAGCAAAAAATGAGACACACACCAGACACGCCAGAAGACTTGTTAATCAACATAGAACTGGTACTATTAGCCATCGGACGTTGGGGTTCATACTGAGGGGAGAATCTGAGCACCTATGGACATGTCCGGAGTGCAATGAGGATAACCCAATTAACTAACTAACTAACTAACTAACTAACTAACTAACTAACTAACTAACTAACTAACTAACTAACTAACTAACTAACTAACTAACTAACTAACTAGCTAACTAACTAACTAGCTAACTAGCTAACTAGCTAACTAGCTAACTAGCTAACTAGCTAGCTAACTAACTAACTAACTAACTAACTAACTAACTAACTAACTAACTAACTAACTAACTAACTAACTAACTAACTAACTAACTAACTAACTAACTAACTAACTAACTAACTAACTAACTAACTAACTAACTAACTAACTAACTAACTAACTAACTAACTAACTAACTAACTAACTAACTAACTAACTAACTAACTAACTAACTAACTAACTAACCAGACACACGCTGGTGACTGCTTGTTCAGACCAGACACACGCTGGTGACTGCTCGTCTAGACCAGACACATGCTGGTGACTGCTTATTCAGACCAGACACATGCTGGTGACGGCTTGTTCAGACCAGACACATGCTGGTGACTGCTTGTATAGACCAGACTCATGCTGGTGTCTGCTTGTCTAGACCAGACACATGCTGGTGACTGCTTGTATAGACCAGACACATGCTGGTGACTGCTTGTATAGACCAGACACATGCTGGTGACTGCTTGTCTAGACCAGACACATGCTGATGACTGCTTGTCCAGATCTGAATGGCAGTTACAGAGCTAAACAAAGAATAACACTTTTTTAAACAGAATCAGATACAAAACAGCGCAGGTTCCCGAGAGTGTTGCGCTGAAACATACGACGACGACTTGTTTCATTTAAATCCCGCGTGAACAGCGAGAACATTCTGTCTATATGTTATATTCACCTCTCCGTTCTTTCCAGGCGGTAGTATTTTATACCAGGCTACAGGGAGGCATGGGATTCACAGCCCATGGCTATGGCGAGTGTGACACGCTAGACCCGCCTGCATTTAGAAATGTCTACAACAATGAAAGCTTGCGATTTCAGAAACTTTGTTGCCGTCACTTATATTTTGTGTGTTTTTTCTTAGACGCTCAGCTCTCTGTATTTATATTTCCGTCCACTTTCCCCATCCACTCAACACGGTCTACATCAGTCACATGCTGGTGTCTGCTTGTCTACATCAGTCACATGCTGGTGTCTGCTTGTCTACACCAGTCACACGCTGGTGTCTGCTTGTCTACATCAGTCATACGCTGATGTCTGTTGTCTACATCAGTCACATGCTGGTGTCTGCTTGTCTACATCAGTCACATGCTGGTGTCTGCTTGTCTACATCAGCCATACGCTGGTGTCTGCTTGTCTACATCAGTCACATGCTGGTGTCTGCTTGTCTACACGAATTCCACGAATCTACCTGAATACCTGTATCATTCATGTCCTTCTCGCACATATCTTTATATTGCACAGCATTGCACCAAAGAGGATGTCCTTATGGACGCTGCTAACTGCCATTCTACAGGCATTATCCAGCCACCGGAGTCTAGACTGACCCTTGAGAGAAATTGATATCTGCTCTTTACAATTACTAAGTGTTTGTGATGTTCTGCGACTTACTGCCAAGCATTCCTCCTAGGCAA